GACGACCCCCGCAGTCATCTTTCGGTCACCGCGGTCGGGCGGTCCTCACCATAGCGCGCACCCAAGTCCGTTCTTATTTTAATCCGACCGTAGTCACCAAGAGGAGATCGGATGGGTTGTCATGGACACCATGCACTCCCTGCTATATCCAATGTTAACACTGCCTCTACAGCATCGCTGACCGGTATTCGTATCCCGACAATGGCGGAACTCTCTAGAAAGTACGTTGAAAGAACAGGCGGAGGCTAGAACTTGTCACGGCTGGGGCGGTGGCTCTCAGGGGAGACACATGTAAGAACAATAAACCCTAAAGCTGACGTGTAGGTCGGTGTCCAATTTCATGTTCTAGCGGGGTGACCTTCCGTGATATAACATGCCCTATACGTACGGGACTAAAATGTTCTATTTAACTGACACACCTGGAAGCAAATACTTTATAATCCGTTTATTAATGAAATCAGCTTATTGGGGAAATAAGGGTCTGAATGTAAAAATGCATCATATTTCAAAGAAATTTATCTTACCTATTACGGGTTGTCATGAAAAGGTTCCGAATCCGATAAATATGTTCTAAGAAATCTTTCAATTTTCTATTATTTTGTAAGGTTTTATTAAAAAGTATTTTTTCTACATTAGTTTTTTTTTTTTCAAGTAATATTCTTTTTATATACATAAGAAAATAGGAAAAAAGCTATCACAATAATTCAGCCATAGAATATGGTTCAGCAATAGAATTGAGGGTCTTATTGCGAATGTTCAAAAGTGAAGAAGAAACTTTTCGGGGGGTATTATATTTCCACCACTAATACTAGGAACTATAGAAAAAATGTTCCAACTGGTAGTTTTCCTGGTTTTGTCCACTTGCATTGTTTATATAATGCTGTAGAGATATCTTCCGTTTCTGGAATACTGAATATATTGAAGGGTTATCTAAATCAGAAATTGAATAATAATATAATACAAAAGTACTTAAAAATTTATATTATCAACCATATAATTTATGAAACAAGTACTTATAATTCTGTAAAATGTACATTTCTGAAAGTGTTTGCAAAATTAACTTTTTCCTCAATGCACATGGTACAATAATGAACCACCAGGATTCAAATAACCACTTCTAATTATTGATTTAGTTCTTATTAACTATCACAAGGTACCAGCACTTATCTTCCCAAAAGAACCAACAACAATGTAGTGCTCATTTGTACACACCCACAAAAGCTAATAGAAAAAAGTGGTTCAATAGTGAACCAAAGACCTATAAAGGGTTAAAATACTATTTTAATACTGATCCAAATTAAGAGAACCATTACAAATTAACATTTAATTAAGTGTCATAGTTTTGGAATTTCCTCTGAAAAAAGTGTGTGTACTTTGGATAAATTTCAAGGAGATAACAATTATACATTACACAATCAGATAAATTTGGAAACGATTATGATTGTCACATTAAATTAACACAAATATCCTTTTATTTTTGACATTCAATTTATACAATTATCACAACTCTTCATTTTTCAATTATGACATTTCGCATGACGGTTAATGCATTATCAGGTGTGTACATAAAATATTAAACATGTTTTCACCTAAAAGAAAAAAAAGGCAAACTTTTTTATTAAGACATTGAATAATTTTTTAAAAACAAGTTACAAAGAATCAGGAAATGGAAAACATTACAAATTGAGTCTTAGTGAAAAATATTTAAAGAAATAAGCACAAAATATAAAATAGCTGGGACAGTACTTACCAAAATATTTTTAAATCGTGAAACATATGAAAAATGTTTTTAAACAAAGGTTAATACCAATATCTAAAACAGGAAAAGTTCCCACAATAAAAACACACATCCTCACTGAAAGGAGAGAGAGGCAAGAATGGGCAGAAAGGGAGAGGATATTTTGTACGTTAGTCTGCTCTATTTTATATTTTGGGCTCATTACTTATTTTCACTTTACATATCCTGCTGCTGCATGTAACGAACACACAAAATACTGCAATTAAAAAATAAATAGTTTTCTGACGAATAACCTTATTGTCAAAAATTAAAGAATATTTGTTTCATTGACATATTTTATCATTTTATAAGACAATGCCATTAATATTGTTATGAAGAAAGTATTATTGTCCTGTAGTTCTCCTAGGGTACCCATTGGCATGTTTCAAATAAAGTATTCTTTGAAGTTAGCAGGCATTAAACATATAACAGTGCATTTGCATAAAAAATTTATTGAAAAATAGACACACATTTATAATACAATAAAATTTACAGAAATATACACTTGCAGCAAAATAACAACAAATTGATTCTTTTAATTTCATTTATATAATATCAGTACAATCTATTACAAATTTATAATTTTCAATATTAGAATTAATTTGAAAACAAACTACGTTTAATGAATTTCAAAAAAGGTTAGCACTTTTATTTTGAATATTAACTTGATCAATCTAATTGAGAATCCTAATTTTCCATTTCTTTCTATAAATGTAATGTTATGTCTTTTGCAAGGGATGTCTGAAATATTCTTGTCGACAAATTATTAGCCATTCTGAAAGAGTTATATAAATTGAATTTACAGAAATGTTTTCTCTCTTTCTTTCTTCAGTTGTATATGAAATTATTAAGATGGAAATGATTTATCAAAGGTATAGGTCTTTCATTAACTTATTTATAAATATTACCACTTCTTCGAATGGCACATGACAACTCAAAAAATAAATATCAATCTTTGCTGCAGTACTTACGATTAAGGAGAAAATCAAATCTCTTTTTAGTTTAATTATATCTCTCAACTTTTAAGTTCTCCATTTGAAATAGATACACCATTAAAATTATACAAAGAGATTAATTTTACTTGATCTAAGAAGAAAGTATGATCAAAATCATCTAAGTATAGTGCTTCTCAATTAGACATCTTCCCATGGAGGAAGACACAGAGCCTAAGAACTTCTATGAAGCACAATATTTTACATTGTATTTTAACATTATTAACATTGTATTAGCTTGATCTATCAGTTCTTTTAAACATTATTAGAATGTCGGCAAATAACTTAGTTTGAAATCTGTCCCCAAAAGTACAATTTTTGAATCCTCTTTGTTCATTGCAATGAATGTTCTATAGAAATGCTCATTGCACTCATGAAATGCAAATGTTTTTCTACCTTTATTTAAAAATGACTATTACAAATCATTTGTTGTTGCATTATTAATCGTAATGGATTCTTTGAAACAAAGCGCCTTCTTCAAGAATGATTTATTAATGGAGAGTGGGCATCGGTGAGAACTAGTGATGTGAATGGCAGAAGAGGTTGTGTGAAAGTCTTGAGTCATTTTTTTGCCCTGTGACATATTCTTCAGTTGTCTTAATATTAACTTCCTGCATCCTTAGGGATACGCATCATTGCTCGTTTTTATACAATCATAGATTCTTTTAAATATTATAATCACTCATAACTGAGATAATATTGTATTTTCCTGAAAACAGAGCTTGCTCTTTGGCAAAAATATTTCTTGTGCAACTGAGATTGCTTCTAAAACAATTGTTTTAACTTGTTAAAAATTATGGTTCCACTCTTCACACATTCCTGGCACACAGCATTAGGCAAATAATTTACTATGGCTTCTAAATATAGAAAATGAATTGGACAGACTGCCACCCACTGCCCATTTCTTCATGTCAAAATGCTGTATTCGCACCAGAAGTTTTTGTCTAAAGTAAAGGTTGTAGCCTTAGATTTCCCATTACAATTGTTCGTATTGTCCTTGCTGAATAAAGTCGGAAAGGTATACCATTGAATATTTCTAAGTTTGATAAGAGCCAAGAAATATAAAATCAGCCTCATTTTGCACAATTGTATACTGATCGAAAACAGTTCCTAAAAAACTGAAAGGACTTGCATTTCATACTTTGATATTTTTGTTTAACTGACCCTTTTGCACTAACGTACAAAACAGAATATTGTTCACATAGAAGTTCCATAAAAAATTTTAATGTAAGGAAAGATTTAGTCCAAAAAAATTATACAAAAAATTAAGAATATCGCAGATTACAATACACAGAAAACGCAATACACATGCAACCCACAACATACATTATCACTGTGCATAACTTTGAAATAATGCATTCTAGGCCCTTAAAACCCAGTTTTTGTCCCCCCTATGAAACTCCAAGTTATGTTCATGAAGTCATGTGACCTTACCAAACATTCTTCTAGAGTAGTACTCCCATTCTCTAGTAACACTTGAAATGTTAGATGGTATCCAGTATGAATTTTCATAATTCAGTTTTCAAACAATGATTTAAGTGCAGAACGTTTGCTCATGACCAACTAGTTTTATATTATAACTAAACAAGAAATTAAAAAGAGAATAATAATTTATTTTTTTAAACAAATATTAAAAGAAATTAATAATAGGAATAAATTTCCATTTCTTACAAAGAGCCACCATAACTAAGAAACAACCCCTGATGAAAGCTCTCCTGCTTTGCAGAGAAAAGAGGCTTAACTACATTACACGTTTTGTGCAACTTCCCCTCATCACAGGATGATCAAATGCCTAACACAGGAGATACTTGCAAGGGGAGTGAATGGTGTTGGATGCGAATGTTTCAGTGGTTTTTCCAAATAGCTACAATGGCCACATTAGAATAAAGAACATACTCTAAATAAAATATTTACTGTTATACTCAGAATCTTTAAAATAACTTTATTATATAATTTCAATACCATATAATTATCAACAAGTGTAAATATCAAAATAATGTTTCTGTTAAGGAAAAGATAATTACAAAAGAAATAGCTTATTAAAGCGTATTATAAAGAAAAATATTAAAATTTAATTGTAATTTCTCTTACAGCGATTGTAAGCAATAATTTACTTTTTATTACAGATGAATTCAAGAATTCTTTAGTAGCTGGTCTGGAATTTAACTAGAAAAAAATATTAATAAAACCAGT